TGAATAACGTAATGCTCCCATAATTAAAGCACTCCTGTGGTGCGCAGAGGTGGTGTCTTCGCCGTAGTCATCGCTGTTTGACAGACACGTGTAAGCCAGCACATGCCGTATTCGCCTAATCCCTTGAGCATTTCAGGGCGGATTTCATCAATTTCTGCAGTCTTTCAACATTTGAAGCCTTTCACAGCTTGCGTGATCTGATCAGATCGATAGAAATCGTAGTATCCCTTCGCGACTGCTTTATATGCGAGTCTTCTGCAGTTGCTCGGGGTTAGGGAGTTCCTTAAACTACTCCCTCAATCGCTGAAGGGTGTCTTTACCCTCGGTGAGAGGGTGTCCGGACCTGTCCTTCAACAGCCTTTTACCTCAGAACCGGCGAATGGTCTGTCAGAATACTTTGTTTTATGTCTGGAAAATTCGATTCCAACATCTCACCGTACTTCTTCCAGGAATGAACTTTGGCTTTCACTGCCGCCTTGCGTGCCTGGACATATCGCATGCGAGTAGAAGGCTCTTTGTTTCCAAGTCATTTCTTGAACGCTGCTTTCCTCTCTTTAACTGCCAGTTGTACCTCTCGTGTTTATGATGAAGATTTTTTCTGACCTCCAGGCGGCAGGCCAACCCGTTTATATCCGCAGCAGTCGGCAGTAGCTGCCACTCGGTTTCCACATCAGTTATCATCACCAGGATCTGTTCAAACCGCCGTGCGATGTTGTTTGCAAATTTCGCTCTCGTGTCCACCGAAGACAATATTTCCCATTTGATTCTTTGGTTGCTTCTGTCACCAGATCTTCGTATGGTACTCCATTTCTTACAGCACGGCGTGCCATCAACAAGGCGATGATGGATTGATAGCTCTGCGGCTCTCTTAACACGAACATCCATTACTGAGCGTCTTAGGTCAGGCGATACGATTATCAAATCGATCATCGACTTCTGTGCACAGGCTTTCCTTTTCCAGGATACTGGTGTATACCGATGCATGCTCGGATTCCATATTCTTAATGGACGGTCCGTTGGTTGCACAAAACCGCAGCTACTTCATGCCGTTACTATTGAGGTCGCTAGGGCCGTTCTTTCTTATCGCAGATTTCCGCTTTTCAGCGTCTGCTGTGAATGCTGATTGAAATAGCACATTAGAGTAATGGATTCCGCAGTTGGTAGTTTGCGCGGAGCGTTTTCCATTCTCTCAAGGAAGACCTCATATTTTCTCTTCAAATTGGGGACAGAGATCTGTGACAAGTTCAACGCCTTAGGGTATTGTAGCATCTGTCGTAGGATTACTTCTTTTCTGCTGAAACGCTTCTATTCAGTGATTCTGTCGGCTTGGTCTGTTCTACTAAACCATTAAAGCCAGCCTGATCGCGTGTCATGACATCGACACCTGAGTAGATAGGTGCCACTCGCAGAGGTTCATTATTGCAGAGCTTTGATGCTTTGTTGAGGAGAATCCGACTTTGTCGAGTTGGTAAGTAATGGCCTCAGCTGGCTCGTGCTCTTTTCCTCTGAGTGAGGATATAGTCGAGTTTCCTTCTGTAAGCTGCCAGTCGCTGTGTCGTTCCCGTGGAGCCTTTTTTTGACGTTCTATATTGGCATCACTCTCTCTGCGTCCTGGGTTCGGAACGGATACCGACTTCGTTGCTCACTGGTATTTTCCTCGTCGTTTCGCGGATCTGTGGCAGCCGTTATTGTGCTGATACGCTTCTGGCGATGACAGGTTCTGGTCGCCGACTTTTCTAGCCTATTGGGCCATTTGTATCCAGGGCAACGACCGAACGGGTATAATGTTCGATGACGGCAATAGTATGAGGGGCAGGTAGATAAGTTTTACGGACCCTTCACCGCGTCCTCCAACCCTCGTCGTTTTTCACTCGGACTTGGGACCAGTCCGCAGTTATATCTTGATATAAGTTTAGTATGAACTGATAAACTCCATCATCTTTCCTGTAATTATGTTGCATGATGTTTAGGCATGTCTTTTTTTACCGATAAACACAGACGGTGGCTTTTAATTTTTCTGGCAGCACTTCTTATCAGCGTATTCTTCTCATAGCCTGGTTGGCTTACTTTTTCAATCAGATTTTTGTCAACCGAGCGTTTCCGGACGTATGACTACCATTCATAGCTGTGAAAGTGGTTTTCACGGGTATTTTCTGAGATACTGAGTTTTGTAAATGTTCCCTCGTTAAATTTATCAGGTGTATTGAGGTAAAAATGTTGCTTTTGTAATAAAATAATGGTTTAGCCTTACCGAGCTTCGTACTTTGCGTGGAAATCTCGAACGTTCGACTGCTTCTCTTGGCAATGCTGTTGTCTGCATTGGTAACTTCGGTGATCGCGCTGGTTCTGTTGACCGTGTATAATGTACCATGGATGCAACAAATGGACAGTGGTCAAACAAAAACAGCATCCATGTTTGGGACGTCTGGCATAGGCAGAAGTGAGACGAGAACGACGACCACGACGACGAGAGACACGTCTAACCCAAAGGTCAGTTACAATCTACCACAGCGACAGGAACTCGCTGTGGCGGGGAAGCTGAGTACTGCCACCAGCCGAGATAACCGAGTAACGTTGAATACCAGTGTTCCCATCTTCGCGCTTGCAGCTGAAGGGATCAGCTGTGGAAGCCAATGCCCTTCTGCTACAAGCACCATCGATGTCGACAACGACTTGAAGCCGCCGTCTTTCTCACCAACCTTTTACACCTCAGTTCTGGATATGTTTTATGATGCTTGGAGGGCATCGAGGAGTTCACGCCTCAAAAAAAACTTTTATCGTCTGTATTCGGGGTTAAATGAGACCCGTCCTTCTGGTTGCCACCAGTGGTCGATGATAGAGAATCCGTACGAAATACCAAACAGTGTTTTGAAAATGCTGCGACAAGCCTGTATCAACGAGGACAATTGCACTAGCACCGTCTCTGGTGAAACCTGATTTCGGCTAGCTAGTCTACTCCCTGTAGAGATCAACTAAACCTCGCTCGATCATGCCTCCGAAATTGCCTTGGAATGCAGTTTTTAAACTCCTAATTTGATTTGGCAATAGATCTGTATGCGAGTAATTTTATTCGTCAGTTGTTGTTCCTACATCCGGGAATATTATCTGTTTGTTTTCGCCATGAAATTAAAATTAAGATGAAAGTTGTTCATTCAGACTTATCTGAAATGTAAGTATTTTTTCAAAAGTCATTTAGTACAATGCAGTCTCTGCCTAAGTCCAGGGTATAGGTGCATAAAGCACAGATTCTTGTCGCATAGCCTTGACCCTTGTATTGCTAGAATAATGTTTTTTGTTATATTCATCTCTGAAGTGTCTTCCGCGTCATCAGACATAAGTATTAGGGTAACCGTCTGCTTTTTTCTCTACAAACGCATGGTGAAAAATTAA